CTGAACAGCACCAAAGTCATTTGTGCTCTGCTTGTGCCTGCAAGCACACCTGGCTCCACAGCCCGGGTCTGAGGATGCTGAGGTCAAAGCCTCACGCCAGCTCCCAGATGTCATCAGATCTGTCTAGTTTTTCTTAGACTTTCAAGGCAGGTGTTCTCCCTCCTGTTCTTATTTTCCTTTAGCTCCTGACCAACTGCTTTTGTCAAAATCAATGGCTGGCAATTGCTAGCTATAAAACCCTGGGCAACATATGGACATACTGCCTCATTATTTGGAGTATTTGGACTTGCCATACACTTCTAGACTGCAAGCTATAGCTTTGCATTTGCTGCTGTGGCATCTGGTGGCTTCCAAAGGCTGTTGGGAAGGCATAGGCAGGATATATTGATCTGCACTCTCTGTGCAGTTTGCTTCACGTTAAGTCTTTAAAATGTTTTCTTACATTAAATATGTGTGTATACATATATATTTAATTTTAAATATATATATCTCACACAAAATAGAATCTGACAAGCCAATGTAAACCTGTACCCACACTGTCTAATCACCCTATTAAAAGCACAAATACAGCATTGTCTGAAGAATAATCAATATTGGTATGAAAATTGAGAGCTATGTGGTTAATCCAAAGGAGCGTGAATTGACAGAGGATCTCAGCCAATGTTTGCAGAAGACATTTGCCTGGATTTTGTTATCAGGAGATTATCATGCTTCACTATTTATTCAGAATCCTCCAGATGAAGGCTTGGCACCAGTTGTCCCCGGGGTAGGGTCAGGGACGGTTGTCCAGGGACCTGAAGTGGCAGTAGGGGCGAGCATAGTGACTTCTACATCTTAAAAGGGGCTGCAGAGGTTTATAGAAGCACAGATTCCAGAACCTCGCCCCACATGGTGAAAATCAGAATTTCTGGGGATGGAGACCCAGAGGCTGCCCTGCAAAGAGGTCCCCTCTGATGTGCAGTCGGGTGTGGGTGCCGTTCCCTCCAAGAGAAATGTTTGTTCTTTCTTTCCCCGGGCCTGCAGCAAACCTGGGATGTGGTGTCAGTGCCTTCACTTATACTCCAAGGTCTCCATGTATTTCCTTTTTCAATGAAAATCATTTTGCCTGATTTGCCTAGCTCAGAGTTACTGGGGTAATACAATGGGAAGGAAAGTGTGAAGTGAAGATGTACCTGTTATCTCACTTAAGCCTCTCTAGAGTTGAGCAATTATTTCCTTATTCAGATGAGAAACACAGGCACCAAGAGGCTAAGTAATTTGCAAGGCCCCAGGTCTTAGAGGTGGGGAAGCCCAGGTTTGAATCCAGAGCTTTCCATTGCATAACATGCTCCTCTGAGACTAGAAATCAGGCAGACCCTTGCAGCTCAAACCGAGGCATGTGGACCAGCAGCATCAGCATCACCTGGATGCTAATGAGAAATGCAGAATCCCAGGCCCTGTCCAGGCTGACTACATGAGAATCTGCATTTTGATGAGCCCTCCAGATGATTCCTATGCATCTTAAAGTTTAGCAGCACTGCTCTAGAGGACTTCAGATTGAGCAAGAGAGAGTAGACCTCAAAATAAGGTTCCCCTGCAAAGGTTATTTTTGTTTGTTACCACCACACAGGAATCATCAGAATCCAACAAAAATATGCAGTCCTCACAGGACTTTAGCCAAGCTAAACTCTTTCTAGCAGCTTTACCATTCAGGAGCTCTCCTCTTCCTGCCTTTTGAGAGTATCAGTGCATTTTGATTATTTCAGGAGTGACTCCTTTATATTACTTTATAGCACACGGTATCCAGCAGGGAGGGCGGCCAGTTAGGTAGAAGGAAATTCAGCTTCCAAGTATCTCTCCCATAAGTGTTTGTCCTCAGGTTAAATCCTGTCTTAGTCTGTTAAGGCTCCAGTAACAATCACAACAATAAAATACCATGACTTACTGCTTATAAACAACAGAAGTTTGTTTCTCACAGTTCTGGAGGCTAGGACGTCCAAGATTAAGGTGCCAGCGGATTCAGTGTCGGGCAATAGTCTGGGTCCTGGTTCATAGAGAAGTCTTTCTCACTGTGTCCTCTCATGGTGGAAGGGGCAAGAGGTCTCTCTCAGGCTTATTTTATAAGGGCACTAACCCTATTCATGAGGGCTCTAACTTCAGGCCCAGTCAACTCCCAAAGGCCCCACCTCTTAATACCATGACCTTGGATGTTAGGATTGCAACATATGAATTTTTGGGGGGGACATAAACATTCAGACACTGTAGCAGACCCTCCACATAAGATGCTGCCTGCAGAACACAATTAGGAAATGCTGTGCCCAAAAGCCAGGAAACAAAATATACAAGCCAGGGCTTTGAGAAGCATAGGAAAGCATCTGAGTAGCACCCTGGGTGCCAGGCTTGGGGGAATGTCAGTCCAGTGCAAAGGGATTCTCAACCTCTGGCCAGAATATCCAGTGGGATGGATTCTGAGGGTGACTGCCCTATCTGGGCCTCTGCTCCTTCCTGGCCTTTCCCCAGTTCTTTCTGTTGAGGCCACATTCTCACCACACCCCTAGGGGAGCTGGGACTTATTTCAAGTGATTTTTTTTTTTTTTTTTTTTTTTTTTTTTACGTGTGTTTTGCCTGTGAACAGTGACAATTTATTCTTAATTTCAGTTATTTTGAACCTCTTCACTGAATGTGGATGGACAGGTTTGCTCCTCCTCTTCTTCATCGTCTGGACTAACAAATTAACATAATTATATTTTCTTTTTAGAAACAAA